TTTCTCTCTCTTCTTCTTCTGGTGCCCCTATAATGTGAATATTGTTCCATTTTGATTGGTCACACAGTTCTCTCAATATTGTTTCATTCTTAGAGATCCTTTTTTCTTTCTGTACCTCAGCTTCTTTGTATTCCTCTTCTCTAGTTGCTATTTCATTTCTCGTCTCCTCCACCATATCTGCTTTTAATACCCTCCATTGTGCTCTTCAATGATTGGATCTCCAACTGTAATTCATTCCTGAGTTCTTGAATATCTTTCCATACCTCCATGAGCACATTAATGATTTTTATTTTGAACTCCCTTTCAGGAAGATTCATGAGGTCGATATCATTTAAATCTTTCTCAGGTGTTGTATTAATAGTTTTACTCTGAACCAGGTTCTTTTGGTGTTTCATATTTGTATATGGCATCCTCTAGTGTCTAGAAGCTCTACTCTCTGGAGCTGCTCAGCCCCTGAAGCAATGTCAGGGGTTGCAGAGGAGAGGTATTGGTGCTTGGGGGGAGGAAAAAGCTGTTTCCTGTTTTCCGGCTGCTATGCCTGTCTCCACTGCCTGAACCAGTGGGCTGAGAACACAGGTATAAGCCTCTATGCTTTGCATTTGTAGTTGCTGTAGACAGATCTTCCCTCTGGCTGGCCTAACACCAGGGTAGGGTTTGCCTGTTTGCGAACCAGGTGGGGCCGGCCAGGAGAAAGGCGCAGTAGGCTGCCTATCATGGAGGGGGTCCTTGGAGCTGTGTAGCCAGCCAGGGAGCTGGAGCACCTGAAGATCAAGAATGTTCCCAACCTGGGAACAATGCTGGGAAGAGTGCACCCAGACAATTTTGTTTACCTGTCCTTTCTCCTGAGCAGTAAGCTATGTGTAGTCTTTGCCCCTTAGTAGCCCTCTTGCTAAGGGCTTCCTTGTTAGGAGGTCTCTCAGACTGCCCACCTTTCTTTTGTCCCAGAGCAGGTGGATATGGATCCCTGCTTTCCACAAGCAGCTGGAATCTCAGTCTTTCTAGGAATTCTGCTTGTCTTAGCTTTCCAATCCCCTAATCACAAGAGTATCATGAAAGCACCATGAAATGTAGTTTTGTGCTCCCAGAGCAGATCTCCAGGGCTAGGTATTCAGCAGTCCCAGGCCTCCACTCCCTCCGTGCTCCATTTCTCTTCCTCCCACCAGTGAGCTGGGGTGGGGGAAGGGCTTGGGTCCTGCCAGGCCATGGCTTTGGTACATTATCCTGTTCCATGAGGTCTGCTCTTTTCTCCAGGTGTGTGCAGTCTGGCATAGTCCTCTTTCCTGTTGCTCTTTCAGGATTAATTGTATTAATTATATATTTGGATTGTATGTGGTTCTAGGAGGAAGCCTCTGTCTCACCTCTCACGCCACCATCTTTAATCCTCTCCTCTTTCCTTCAGTTTTTTCTTTGTTCTTATACTCCACAGATGAGTGAAATCATTTGATACTTGTCTTTCTCCACCTGGCTTATTTCACTGAGCTATTTTTTTAACTTTTTATATTGTGGTACATACAATAAAATGCACAAATATTAGTGTGCAACTTGATTAATTTTAACATACATATACACTCATGTAACCATTGCCCAGATCAGGATATCAAGCATTCTAATTTTTTTTCACTCTTCACCTGTGTCACCCATTCCCCACCACTCCCTGTGGCAACCACCAGTCTGTTCTCTCTGTTTATAAGTCTATTTCAGTTTTGTTTTGTTTTTTAGATTCCAATTATAAGTGAAATCATATAAAATTTGTCTTTCTCTGACTTGTTTCAGTTAGTAAAATACCCTCAAGGTCCATCCATATTCTCCCAAATGGCAAGATTTCTTTATTTTTTATGGCTGAGTAATATTTCATTGTGTGTATGTACCACATCTTCTTTATCCATTTATCTATTGACAGACACTTAGGTTGCTTTCATATCTTGGCTATTATATATAAGGTAGCAATAAACATAGAAGGCGAATATCTTTTCAGATTAGTGATTTTGTTTTCTTTGGGTGGATACCCAGAAGTGGAATTGCTGGGACATATAGTAGTTCAGTTTTTAGTCTTTTTGAGGACCCTCTATACTGCTTTCCATAGTAGCTGTATGGCTGCTCCTATTTGCAGTCCCACCAACATTGCAAATGGGTTCCCTTTTCTCCACATCCCTCCTCTCTCTGTACCTCTATGTCTCTGTGTCTCTCTCATAGGGGAGTTTGGCATGAACTCTGTTTTTATTTTTAATTAGTTGTCAACATTTAAGAACTGAAACTACTAAGCCATCTGGACTTGCAGATTTTCTTTAAAATTGGAAACTCTGGCAACTCTGGGCTTGTTTACCAAATTAGATGGAATTGAATTGAGGTTATTTTAGACAGGTCATTCAGCTTTTTACTTCTGCTCAGTCCATCCATGACACTGTTCTCTTATGCTGGTCCTACTGCAGGTACATGCATAACTTCCTTGGCCCTTATGGGCATTTGAGTCTGCTACATTTTGTTCATGTGCAATGCCAAATACCTTGTTTTCCCCAGAATAACTCTTAAATATTTGAAGGACAGGTGGATTACATTCTCTCCAGGCTAAATATGCCCAATTTGTTCAATGATTCTTCTCTTTGCTGTATTTATCAGACACTGTTGCACTGTGATCACACATTTCATGCTTTATAATTGGAAAATTGGTGAAGTTATGGATGTTTACTGCCCTAAGTTCTCTCTGACGAGTATATGTTACTTATGGTTTTCTCTCTTTAAAATGCTGCATGCATATCCCAGATAAATTTGATGAGTGCACAGTCTGCACATCTGCTCATGCTAATGACCTCAGAGTGTTAAACAGTGATAATCTTTTTAAAATTATTTTTTATTTGTACAGCTTGTGTAGCACCTATAGAAGGTCTTGCATAGTATTTAGTAAATATTTGAGTGAATATCTATTTTAATATGAAGGCAGTATTTTACATTTATCTGAGACAACTTTTGCCCAGCATTTCCAATTCTGCCAAATCTGTTGCTTCCTCATTCCTTCTAGCTGTTTCATCTGAAACATGACAAGCATGTCTTCTATTTCTTGTTATCATGTTACCAACTTCAAAATACAAAGCAGGATATTACCCTCAGATAAAACTCTACCATCATTGCCCAGCCTGATAGGGAAATAATCAGCATGCTTTAAGCTTACAAACTATATACTGATAGCATCATTTTAGCTATATTTATGTCTCATTACACAATATAGCCAGATCGTATTACATGTTATCTCACCCATGTTTCATTATCTTAACCTACAGCAGTATTAATTTACAATGAGATTGACTTTAAACTCTGTGCCCCCTCCTAAAGCATCTCTGAAATTTTTTGTGTACTCTTGTTACTGGTGCTCAATTTCATGCAGAACAGCTCTTACTAATGTCATTTAGAAATGTTTTCAAGACCTATTTTTGTTTGTGGTTTCCTGATGATAGTTATGGCATTTCCTCCTCCACCCCATCTAAGACTTTATAGTGATATTAGTGCTAAAAAACAAAACTCGGGTGCACCTGAACTGAATGCACTGCACTGTAGGCTTGTGGGCCTCCAGCACGATCATGGTTATCCTACTAAATCTTTAGGTATGGAGCCCAGAGCTGGGCATCTGACCAAGATTCAGTGGAAACCAGTTTTTCTGCTCATTGATACCTAGTGAGGATAGAGTTTCATAGAGCTTTAAAAAATGAAAACTTTATAATAACCCTACATTGGAAACAATGAAATATCTAACAGTAGACATTTAAGTACATAAACTAATGTACTCACACAACAGAATCCTGTGCAGCCATGAAAATGGTGTCATGGATGAAAGTTTAATGGTGTGAGCGAATTAATGTTAAGATGTGTTAAGGGAAAAAGAATCAAGTTTTAAGAGACTATGTACTATATGCTCATTTTGTTTAAATAAAAATGTGTGTATATGCATATATAGAAACATGATGAAAGAATACACATCAAAATATTAAAAATGGTTATGATGAATTAACAGGTTACTTTTGTTCAATTTACTGATCAGAATGATAACGATAGATAATACTTTTTACAGTGCTTACTATATGCAAGGCACTCTTTTAAGTGTCCTATATATTACATATATGACATAGATATAACTGGCATTTAATCTTATGAATTTTCAACAAAAAACTTTTTTCATATTACTAAGTTTTCATAATATAAAAATCATTTGAGATAAAGATATAAGCATCATTTAGAATTATGGAAGTAACTATCAGTAGAGCTAGAAGCAGACTAAAGCTTTCTTTTGTAAGTTCTGTGTGTACTGGATTTGTTGCTGTGAGCATGTATTGATTTGATTTAAATAATAATATGCATAAGAACACTTGTCATTAAGTTTTTCTTCCATTTTTTGACTCAGTTTTAAATTTGCATTCCAACAATGAAATGCAAAAATTTAATATTTTGGAATCTGTGGTTTAGCCAAACAAAATTTTTTGTGCCATCACAGCAATATACATTCTATCAAAATATCTTAACAATCTAAACAAAAGGGATGCAAACTCCTGAGGGGCTTCAGGGTTTATGGGCATAGCTACAAGTGGGGGCTTCCATTGGTTGTCATTTTTTATGTTAAATTCATGAAATTCACATTCCATTCTACATATCTCTTTGCTTTATATATGTTTTCAATTATTTACTATTAAATAAAATTGCCACAAATCCAGAAGTTATATCATGTTTATCCTTTGTATACCTCCATCATATTGCCTAATATAGACTGTGTGTGTTCCATTTTCTGTAAAGAACCAGATAGTAAATATTTCAGGCTTTGCAGGCCAAATGGTCTCTGTTACTAAACACTTGCCATGTAGCTTAAAGATCAAACCTAACTAATACAGTATTGAAATGCAGGTTATATAATATAAACTGCCCCAGAACATTTTTTTGGTCTTAAAAAGATATCACAACTTTTACAGAGTAGGTGGAGTATGCACAATGTGGCTAATTTGGATGTCACTCTTTTCCAGATCTGTCCAACTGAATGGTCAAACTCTGAAGATGGTGGATGATCAAACCCTGCCAGCTCTGACAGAAAAACCTCTCCGCCCAGGAAGTTCACTGGGCTTGCCAGCTTTCTCATATGGGTTTTTTGTGATAAGAAATGCCAAAGTTGCTGCTTGCATCTGAGAGTGAAAGTCTTACACTAGCCTTGAGATTGAATTTTCCAAGCATATCAATAAGAAGAAAACAAAGCTCAAGCTATAGGAAGGCAAGCAGATACATCACAGATCAACTACTGGGAACTTTAGAGACACTGGAACATGCTGAGTGCTAGATTTAGCACCACATTTTGTTCTAAGTAGACCACTGCTAATAATACCTTGTGTCCAACACTATGCGCAGTCTTGTGCATGTGTGATTTTTATTTAAGTTATTTGAAAGGTATATGAATGCCCACATTACAGCCCTGAGGCAAGAAAGGAAAGGATACACAGAAAGTGCTTAGCTGTTTTTATTTTTAAAAACAGCTATTAGAAGATTGTCAGATTCTTTACTCTATATGCTGTCCCTATGGGCTCCCCCTAGAAAAAGCTGTAATTGACTATAAAAGAGAGAGAGTCTCTCTGCACCTTACAGACAGCTAGATTCAGATGTTGCTCCTCTTCTCTCTGTTCTGTCTTTGTCAGCAGTGCTGTGTGAGAGGACAGATGGTTAGATGTGATAGTATAAAAAATTAATGACAATTCCGAGGGAAGGGATTATGTAAACTTCAAATGAAGTAAAAAAAATTAAGTGATTTACCAAGAGGAGAAAATTTAATTCAATACATTATAACCATATATTCAAGTTTACATTTAATTTACCTTTAGCTCTTTTAGTTGGGAAACTTTTGGCTGCAAAGAGCAGAAAACCCTGATTCATATGGTTTAAACCAGGAGACATTTATAATCCCACATAACAAGAAGTTCAAGCAGAGTGGGCTCCACACCTCAGCATGTCACCAAGGAACCAGCTTCTTTCCATCTCTCTGCTCTGTCACCTTTAGCATTGGCTCCATTTCCAGCTCTGTTCTCAGGGTGGCTCAATGGCTATGGTTATTCCATGGACCCATTCAATCCCAGCAGAAGCTGGAGAAAGATGAGCAACTTTTTCTGTCTCCTTCACAGACTTGAAGAGCCCTTTCTCGGAGGTTCTCTTGGCAAATCTCTCCTCATGCCTCCTCCCGTCTCACTGATTGGGAATGGGTTACCTGGCCATTTCCCTGTCACTACCGTCAGTGAGACTCCTGTGATGATCTCCTACTGACCTTTTGGAATGGAGATGGTGTTGGGAAGCCTATGGCACTATGGTTCTGTGCTTTTATCAGAGACAGAATGTTTTATTTTCTCCTGAATCTTAATTTTTTAGAACCATAATCCTCTTTATGTCTATGAATTTGTCTCAAATTTAAGTACACTTATAAGGAGCTAAAGCTGGAACTTAAAGTTTTGATTCCTCAGTACCCTAAAATTTTATACGCAAGTGGTTTTTATATTTTGGCATTTGAAATAAAGTAATTTTTATACCCTCAGTATTACATTATTCTTCTTCTAATAAAGCTTAAGCATACAGGTGCTTACATTTGGAGCCTGTTTTCCTCCACCACTTTGTTTACACGTCCTACTTGTACTTGTCCTTTCAGCCTCCCCCGTGCCAGAGCACTGACCTTGAGGGAAAGAGATCATCACGTTGCAGAATGGTTTCCTTCCTCATCATGTAGAAATGATCAAAGTCCTGTCCTATTGTTCTTTTCCCTGTCCCCTCTGCCCCTTAAATTCAAGGCCTAATTTCTCACTTATATTATAATAATCTCATTGTTCTCCCTGACTTTACTGAAAATGCTTAAATGGCTCCCCATTTCTTATAGGTACGTAAGGTCCTCCAGAACCTGGCACCCGCCTGTTTCTTCACCCCAATATTTGCTACTTTTCCCATGAATTCTGTCGCCAACCACTCGCTGGCTGAGAAGTCTGAACACACCTCCCTACCTTCTGTTTCTGTGCCTGTGGTGCTGCTCCTCCGGCCCTCCACCTGGACTGTGCTTCTACCTCTCCTCTCTATGTGGCAAACTTTCACATTTACCAAGACCCAGCTCAGACATCAGTTTCAACACCCCCATCATGCAAGTAGCTTTCATCGTATGTCTTTGTTTCTAAAGAAGTTTGGATATTTTTACTATGGCAATTATGATGCATTGTGATTTTATCCAAACATCTTTCTAACTTGACATCAAGCTCATAAGAGGTAAATATCCTAATCATCTTGTATTCCCTGTGCTTAGCATATTGTCTATCACACAGTAGCCACTCAGATGTTTCCTTAATGACAGAAAAGAGGATTTCAAATTTAAAACTAGCTTAGGTATTTTGATTTTGAATATACAGAAAAACAATGATGATGGAAGGTATTGCCTTTTATCTTTAAAAAATCTTAAATGATCACTAGTGAGCTTGTCTAACAGCGGGGGGCTATGCGAAGAACTGGGGACATGGCTATGTGAAAGAAAGGAACGCTCAGTCACACGTTAATGAGTGTTAAATGTATTAAGTTTTTCTTCAGCTTCCTTAGAGGAAGCTCATGCCTAGCATGTCAATTACTTTTTGAACCCACACCCTTTCACTGGTATTTGATCAAATACATTTATTTCCTGCAACTTATAATATTGGCTCGAAATTATTTTTGTCCTTTAGTTTGGCCTTGTGATTCACATCATCTCCATGATCACGGGAATTTCTGCAACCTGCTGTGAAACTTATATGTTCAGGGCTTGTCAGCTCCATGATTACACACATTTTCTTCTTTTTTAAAAATCCTGGTGTGTCTCATCAACCTGTTGAATCACTTCATGGTTGATATCAATTATCCTTCTAACTAGAATTTTGATTACCACAAAACTAACAAATACCCATCTGTTTTACCTGGTAATGCAGTACAAAATCAAAGCAGTATTTAAAACTAAAACAGTAGTGAAATGAATAACTAGTTTCAACTGCAGGTGTTTTCAATGATCTTTTAGAAAATGTTTCCAAGGATGTATAGACTGGATCATGTATTGTATAGCTTAGAAAAACAATGTGAAGATTCTCATAATTGCTCCATCCCAGGATCAGAAGCTTTGGTTTTTTTGCAAGGGTAAGATAATCTTGTCCTTTTCCAATTTTATACCATTCTCAATTTTACAGACTTAGAGAAAGGAAAGACCTGGAGCAAATTAGATACAGAAATATTTGTTTTTTTTTAATCTTCCCTATTATTGTCACTAAGTGATGTAAGATAAATTCTAGCTGAAATAAGCAGGCAAAGAGAGGCAACAAAGGGCCAGGCAATTTATTTAAATACCCACGGGTGAGGTTCTGTGGCCTTCTTGTCACAGGCCAGAGAAGTCACACCCAGTTAGGGAGGTGGAGGGGCTTATAAGGGATTAGGAGGGGGAGGAGTGGGCAAGCTATCCTAGAGGGTGTGGAGAGGTATTATTGGCTAAAGGTGACATAATAGACAACTAGAAACTTTTTTCCTTCCAAGAGGGAGGAGGCTGACATCCGGGTCTTAGTTGGCACATCAGGATGAAATTCAGGGAGAGCTGTCCCCTTTCCATATACAGCACAGACTTTGGGGTCTGGTCTGTTCTCCCCCTACGGAATCTGTCTGTTCTGTTTTCATGTCCTTGTTTTTCCTTTCTCCAGCCTAACATTCCACCCTTTTGGTCATAATGGGCGACGACTCAATCTGGCTACTTCCAGCTGACAAGGGACGTCGTGGGGATTTGAGGCTGGTATTAGGCCGAAGGAGGGGGTTCAGTGGGAGGAGGTGCGTAACGGTGAAGTAACATCTGGTTGGTGGTGACTTGGGTCATCTGGGTTAGCTACTGTTGGAGGAACCTGAGGACACAAGGGGCAACTAAGAGTAAACCACAAACTGTTATTAAGGGGCCCAGTAAGCGCATCAGCCAGGCTATTATGGGGCACTGGAATTCTGAATCGAGTTTACATCTCAATGACTAGTATTAGGATTTAGTATAGATAAGACTGCATTATTGAAACAATACTTTTATCTAAAATTACCCTTATTTTTATTAGAAGTAGCTAGATTAAGAAAATAATTAACAGTTGGCTTGATTATTTGCATAAGTGCAGCAAGAAGAGCAATTGATTACACAGGCTCTTTTAAATATGCTTTGCTAGAACTTTTTGGAAGGAATTTCAGATTGAACTTTTAAAGGCCTCTCTAGGCCAGAAAGCCAAGTAAGACTTGCCCTCAGGTTTTGCCTGCAGTACTTGTAGATTTGGGTGAATTCCTCTCTTCTCGAGGTTAAGACATCACGAGGTTCCTGCACTTGCCAGGAAGTGACCTTCCTTACTCACCTGGTAAGGCTGCTGGGAACCCTGTAAGCAAGGTACCAGGCCAGTTCTTCTAAGGGGCTTTGTTGGCTCTATAAAGTCAACCTTAGTTCCTTAAAGCTGTTGATATCTAAGCTTACACACATGTCTCTCAGGTATGACATTCCAGTCAATGCCTTGGTAGTATAACCAGTGTTTTTAATTGGTCCTCTTACAAGGAAAGCAGGTTCTTATTGAACTTATGCAAATAAACATACTGCCATGAAATATAAAAATAGTCACTGAGAGTTTTTAAATTCTGGAGGGATCAGGTAGAGAGAAAGATAAAGTTTCAATTCTGCTTATAAAGATTGGTAAACTGTTGTCAGCTTAAGAGAAAAAGCTTAAAACACTTTATCAGCAATATTTGAAACAAAAAGCCACAAAATCATCTTCCTTAGTTTACTTAATCTTAGGTTACTAATACCTGTTCTGCTGAAATCTAGTTTTTTACTAGTTTAGGAGTAATAAAACAGTGAGTATAGATGACAGAAGACTTACAAATGACAATGGTTAAAGATCTGATGAGAGCTTACTGTAAGACAGTTGTTATAAAGAAATTTGGATATTTCTGTAACACAAAACATTCAGTAACAAAGTTTAGCATCATTCCTTTTGACAGTGCCCTCCAGGCAATTAAGCAGGTAATTATATATCAGATAAATAAGCCAAATTAGCCAAATACTTTCTCCAATGATAAAAAGTTTTTCTGACATGTTCCAGGGGCTCTCTGGAAAATATCAGAGTTATCTAGAGGCAAAAGCACTTTTTTAAATTTGATTTTGGGAAGTTGTTAAAAGTGTTAAGGCACTTGCTTAAATAGGACCATAGGTTGCTATGAAGCAATACTTATCTAATTAACTAGAATGACAACAAAGTACTTCAAAGGCAAATAAAGAAGGTTACACAGTTGTTATCAAAGTTTAGCTTTTAGTCTTTTTAATATTAAGATCTCATTTTCTTAAAGACTCCAAAACTCACTGAGACTTTAAGCATAAGAAACTGCTTTGATAAAACAATTAGAAGAACTTTCTGCAATCTTTCAATATTAAGAGCAGACTAACAGTTAAGAAAACTTTGTTTTTTTAACTGAAAACAAAATTCTAATTTTGCTGTGTACTTGATACTGAGACTCATTTGATTTAATTTTATATAGCATGACTATATTAAATTCTTTTACAAACTTTTTACAACTTTCTTATAGACATATTTTTAACATGCAGAAATGTTTTCCTTAATACTTTAAGTAGTTTTGATTAGAACTTAAAACTATTACTTTAACTCTCAGTGAACACTGAAAAATAGGCTACTGTAAACTGTTACACTAGCATTTTTCAGATTGATACACTTATGAACGTATATTATCATTTTTGGAAATGTGCTTTATAGCACAATTTCTTATTAGGCACAAAATATGTCTATATAACTTAGCAAACTTTAAGAATTTTGGTTACTACAAAAATTCTCAGGCTGTTTGCATATATATATATATACTGTTACACATTAATACAGTATTATTATTAGGTTATTTATTTGCTAGGCTTGTTTACTTATTTTTAGCAACTATGCTAAATTACTTACAAAACCTTTACTGAATGTTAGACAAAGCCAAGCCTTCAAGAATTTTATTCTTAAAAGATTTAGCAGATAACATTGACTTAAATGACCTTAGGTAAACTTAGGCAGCTGATAACAACAAGGACATGCCGGCCTCAGCTAAACTCAAATTAGCATTAATGCTTAACATTTTTTACTAGATTCTCTGGAAGTTCCAGAATGCTCAATCTTCACAAGTGCTTGTTTTTAAATAAACTATTTTTCATTTATACACTTAGACACACAAACGTACAAACTGAGATACAACGACTACAGTCAGCAACACTTTTTTCATAAAAACATATACACAGATAGACAAACGGATACGAAGACTTGAGTCAGATATCCAATTGTCCTCTCTCTTTTCAGCTTTTTGTCTGTGTCTTCTGGAACTAGAGGACAAGAGGGGCGTGTTCTGGTGGGGGAAGAGGGTGGTGAAGGTGGAAGGAGAGGGGGAGGGGGTGGTGCAGCCACTGGAAGAGGAGAGCAGGACAACGGCATGGTTGAGAATGCAGACTTTAAGATGGAGGCAACACGTGTGAAGACAAAGGACTTAGAGATGGTGGTGGAGAGAGGGGGAGGGGATTGCGAGCTGAGGGAGATGGGCGACTGAGGTTTTCTGGCGGATCTGAAAAGGAAGGACCGGGCAGAGTAAGAGGCTGACAATCTTTAACTGGAGATAGGGCCAGGAGAAACTGAGTCATTGAACACTTAACATAAAGGTCTTGACAGGAGTGCAAAGTCCAAAAAGCCTGCACATATGGGATTTCATTCTACTTTCCGCTCTGGTGGCAATAATTAGTTAAGTGGGTGAAGAGGCTAAAATCAAAAGTTCCCTCAGGGGGCCAGCAAGATTGGTTGTCCAAGGGATACTGAGGCCCTGCCTCAGAGCAAAGGAAGACTAGCTTCCGTTTGTGAACTTCCTGGGACAAATATAGAGTAGCCAGATTAGAAATGAGACACCGCAGTGGGGTCTGAGCCTCTGCTTTTGAGGACTGGTTCCCCATGTCTGTGCCCACTTCCCAAAAATAAATCCTGCTGAGGAGCGCCCAGCGTCCCAAGTGCACCAAGTCAGGGGAGACAGCCTGGGAGCCTGGGTGAGGGACGTCTCCTGCACTGCAGGGCTAGGGGCGAGTATCCCGGATACTCTCAACAGATGGGCTGAATACCCAAGACCTGGACGTAGCTATGATTTCGGATGGACCAGGTGAAATGGAGTTAGGAAGGGAAGCAGACCGGGGGAAACTGAGGGACTCACCAGAAAATAGTCCACGCAGCGGAGAGCAGGCTGAGGTCCCGGGTCGGGGAAGGAGGGGGCGGGGCCGCCGGTGGCCAGTCAGGGCCCTGCACTCACGCTCCTTCCCGCGTTTCGGCACCATATGTAAGATAAATTCTAGCCGAAATAAGCAGGCAAAGAGAGGCAACAAAGGGCCAGGTAATTTATTTAAATACCCCCAGGTGAGGTTCTGTGGCCTTCTTGTCACAGGCCAGAGAAGCCACACCCGGTTGGGGAAGTGGGGGGCTTATAAGGGATTAGGAGGGGGAGGAGTGGGCAAGCTATCTTAGGGGGTGTGGAGAGGTATGATTGGCTAAAGGTGACAAAATAGACAACTAGAAACTTTTTTTCCTTCCAAGAGGGAGGAGGCTGACATCTGGGTCTTAGTTGGCACATCAGGATGAAATTCAGGGAGAGCTGTCCCCTTTCCATATATGGCACAGACTTTGGGGTCTGGTCTGTTCTCCCCCTACGGCATCTCTGTGTTCTGTTTGCATGTCCTTGTTTTTCCTTTCTCCAGCCTAACAAGTGCTATAGGTTTTTATGACACCTTTGATTTAAATCAAATTTGTTCCTTATTTTCACACATTTGATGGTAGTCCACCACTTTTTAAATTGGCTTTTAAGTTACTCTGTTAAATGAAAGTTAAATACTTCTTACATTCCCATAGACCTTTCAAAGGACAATAACAAGATTAGTTTACCTGATTCTGCTGCACTCCAACTTTAATAAGGCACACTTGAATACTTAAACTATTCTTCCTAAACACATTTTAAGAAGACTTTTATACATCTAATAAACCAGACACAAATTTAGTAGATCGAGTTCCCTAGGCATGTAAACATCTTAACAAACATTGAAACAAAACCTATACAAATACAACTTGTACAAAAAGACTTCATCCCAAAGTCACAAATTTACTCCCCTGGCCAGAGTTAACAGAATTATCAATTCAGGTCCACTACACCAAGTAAGGTAATAATCAGGTTTTTCATTAGAGAGCCTAGAAACAGGATGTAGAACCACTAGTGTGTTGGGTTCAATCCCTTCTTATGCTTAGATGTCAGTTCTTGCATCTCTGAAAGCACCAGACAGTTTTGACCACTTAACCTTCCTGAAATAATTTCCTGGCTTCCATGGCACCATCTCTTCTGTCTTACAGTCATATCTCTGGGCTGTCCTGTCTCTGTGTCTTCCTTGAGTTTCTGTTCCTCTGCATGTCCCTGGATGGTAGAGTTCCTCATGAGTCAACCGCAACCCTTCTGTCTTGTTTTGCAATACATTCTTTCTGGGTGAAAACAAGTACTCTCATACCAGAGTTAGATGAATGGGCATGATTTCTTGCTCTCTATTGAGTTTTTAATACTCATCTTTATTCATTTTATCCTGAATGTGAATATGTGATATTTAGATCAGAGACAGATTATCATTATTCACTTAAAAAGCAAATACTGATTGTGTGGTTCCCCACACCCCAATTCTTACTCCTGGAGGGACACAACAAAAGCTAGGTCAGTTGTCTTATGCAGACACACTTCAAAAGTCTCCATCACAAGTCTGGAATGGGAGAGAATGGATTGTCTTTGCTTACATACAAGAGAAAGAGGCAGCTCCCTTCCACACTCTTAACGAAAAGAGAGAAAAACCTTTGCTTATTGGAGACAGGATGTATAGGATTCTGGGTTCTCACCCTTTTGGGAAAATAAATAAAATCTCTCCAGGTCCAGATAGCTGCCATGTGTCTCTAGCTTATATGACCTAGAAATGCCTCAAAGCTCCTATGTTTCATTCTTCTTTGAAATGTTGACACCTAGAGAGAGTCCTCCAGTCTGTTGGCACCTTGGGAACTTGTGGTGTTATAAGAAATATATATTTGGTCTTTGCCCCTTTGGTTCCTGGCACAGAGCCTCAGAAGCCCTTGGAATGTCCTGGGTGATAGGAGTGTCTTTTGTTATATGGTGTAAGGAGCCCTTTCACCATACGTGCGTTTATGCTAATGAGATGACTCAAGGTGGACCCTCAGACAGTCACTGTGAAACTTTCAATTCCACCCCCAATCTCAGGAGAAAGAGGCTGGAGATTTGAGTTCAATTAACAATAGCCAGAGATTTAATCAATTATGCCAATGCAGTGAAGCCCGGATACAACTCTCTTAACAAGGAGATTCACAGCACATCCTGCCCTGTCAAACATGACATGACAGGAGGGTGTTCACTCTTGACTCCATGGGGACAGAAGCTTCTGTGCTAGGGACCCTTCTGAATCTTGCTCTATGTACCTTTACACCTAGCTATTCATTTATATCTTTTATAAGAAACTATAATAATAAGTGTGGTGCTTTTTTTAGTTCTGTGGGTCATTCTAGGGAATTACCAAACCTGAAGGAGGATCCTGGGAACCTCTGAATTTATAACTGGTCAGTCGGAGTGCAGTTAATCTGAAGACCCCATTTGTGGCCAGCATTTGAAGTAGGGGAAGTCTTGTAAGACTGAGCCCTTAACTTATGGGATCTGCACTAACTCTGTCCAGTTAATGTCAGAATTGCCCTGAATCTTAGGACACCCAATTGATGTCAGAGAATTGGGAATTGTTATTGGGAAAGCAACACAGATCTTAACATAGAAGCCAGTTTGGGCTGTAACCTTGTGCCTTCTCAAGGAGATAAGAGTAATTTTGTTATCCTTTTGGATCAGAGCAATTCACTAGACACATGGCTACAGATAGGATTCTCATGGTATGTAAAAGGTAAAATATTTCTAGGGGAAGTGGAGGCAAACATTCTCTATTTTTATACCAGAGTATAGCTTTACACAGAGTGTATCTTTCTACTCTATTCCAGGAGGTTAGAGATTTTTTTTTTGGTATCATTAATGTACAATTACGTGAACAATATTATGGTTACTAGACTCCACGTATTATCAAGTTCCCCGACATATCCCATTACAATCACTGTCCATCAGCATAGTAAGATGAGGCTGGAGTTTTTTTATAGGAGTACCGAGAAATCTGGGAAGTTATATTTCCCTATACCTCAGAACTTTGTATGTGCTCTTAGATTAGCATATCCTTCTTCCATTCCCTCCCCTTCTCCTATCCCATATTGGTTTGGTTAATTTGGACTTCAGATCTCAGACTATACATCACTTCTTCTGGAAGACTTTCATGATCTCCCCTTCCCAAGCTTGATAAGATGCTCCTCCTGAGGATTCTCACAGTGCCCTGGGCCTATGTAACATCTGCTATCAAATGCTTTCTATTTTCCCTTCTAGTTGATGTGCTCCTATAGGATTGAACTTTTTTTTCCTTAATATAGCCTGTGCTAAGCACAGTGCTTTCATAAAACAACAACTCAATATATTTTGTTAAATTATTTACAGTCTCTAACTTTAAGGAGTTTATAATCGAAAGGAGAAAAACACATAAAATTTGTAAAATACAAAGGAAAATGACAAATTCTGTAAAAGAGATAAAAACAATGTTGTATTAGTGTTTAAAGAGAGAAAAAAAATGTATGTGGTTGAAGGACTATGTCTACAATTCCAAATGCCATGGCAGGAGTAATGGGAAGATGCTGCTCTCTCATATAACTTTCAGGGCCGAAGAATGTGGTCAAACAAAATAGACTCAGAAACTCAACTTTCACCTTCATCCCCCCCAAAAAAGGAACTCAACTTTCACCTTCATCCGCCCAAAATAGAGACTTAACTTTCACCTTCATCCAGCTCTAGGGCTTTTCTCCTAATAAACACAGAATCTGCTCTGATGACAAGTCTAATGATGCTCTAAAGTTGAGCTCACCAATGAAGCTAGAAGAGACGTAACTCCAGACAAGGGCATTGATGGAGACAATCGCAGGACCATGTCTGGGACTAGCACTTTGGCAGCAAGTTGCAGGGGAAGACCTGACCACTTAGGAAGTTCCAATTTTTTCTGAATCTCCCCTGAGCTCTCCTAAAACCCTAGGAAAAGAGCCCCTTTTGAGCACACTTGATTTGTGTTAATGAGGAGACTTGGAAACTCCTGAAGGATGGGGAGCTAGTTACTAGAGGGTCGGAATTTTCAGTTCCGCCCCCGACCTCCAGGGAAGGGAGAGGAACTGGAGAATGAGTTCAAACACCAACGGCCAAAGATTTTATCAATCATGCTTATCTTATGAGGCCTCTATAAAAATGACAAGGTTCAGAGAGCTTCAGGGTTGGTGAACACATGGAGGTGTGGGGAGAGTGACACAGCCCAGAGGGGGCATGAAAAGTCTGTGCCCATTCCTACATATCTTGTCCTATGCAGCTCTTCCATCTGGCTCTTCCTGGGTTATATCCTTTCATAATAAACTGGTAATCTAGTGATATAAAATGTTTTTCTAAGTTCTATGAGCAACTCTAGCAACCTAATCAACCCAAGAAAGGAGTCTCTTGAGAACCTCCAATCACTGGCATCTGAAGTTGGGGAAGAGGTAGTTTTGTGGGACTGAGCTTTAGCCTGTGGAATCTGATGGTATCTCCACGTAGCCAGAGCCAGAATGGAATTAATTGTATCGACACCCATGTGGTGTTGCAGAATTGCTTGTTATGTGGAAAACCCACACCTGGTGTCAGAAGTGAAGCAGTGTAGTATTGAGAGTAGAGGTAACATACACATGAGGAAGTGTGTTTTTACCTTTACAATTACAAAATTTCCCAGTGCCACCATCCCTCTACCATTGGTGAATAAGTTACGAGCTAGTTTTGTAGAATTACCAAGGTTTGCCCCCTTACCACCACTGCAGAGTCAAGATATCACAGAATCACTGACCCAATTTCAAGGAAAGGGTGTGAAGACTAACCCAGTTCTCTAGATTACTACTATCCAGATGAGAGACTTGCCCGTAGTCACTCAGTGAGGGGTTAATGGAATAATACCTGTAAGCTGTAACAGTGTCTGGCACACATAACTATCAAAGAGCTGCAGGCTCCTAGCATCCCACACGTTGGTTGTCTCTCAATTACACGCTTTCCATTGAATTGACGGTAAAATTTAGTTTTTGCTTGTGTAACAAATGTCCTTTAGTTAGAAGTAGTTTTAATTTACATTCTTGGATTTGTTTCTCGGTGCCCTTTTAGTTTTAAAAAGGAAACACCAACCTGCAAATCATTATTTTGGGTTCAGTAGGTTTTCGAGGTTGACTTGCTTTTCCTGGTACAACTGTTGCGCATGAGTAAACATTATCCTTTCTCATTTACAGAGAAAGCTGATAACAGGACTCCCTTTTATACGCTAAACATTTCGGGGACCCCTTCCAGGGTAATGTGAGCACGATAATCCCTACTTCAAGTTCACTGTGGAAGCTCAGACCACACCGCCCCCGCGGGCGGGCACCCCGGTGACGTCACTGCGCAGGGCTGCCGTGACCTGGCGCCAAGGAATGACGTCAGGCCGATGGGAGCTGCGCCCTTCGGGGGATACCATGCTGAGCGCGAGCGGCGCGGGGCTCGCACGGAGCCTGTGGGCGGCGACGCGGGCGCGGCTGCTGGGCTCGCGCTGCCCTGCCCTGGCCGCGGCGTGCGCGTCTGGCGTCCTCGGCGCGGGGGACTGGCGGCCTCCTCCCGGGCCGGGGCCGCGCGCGCGCCCGCTCAGCCTGTCGGCCGCGGCCATAGTGAACTCGGCGCCCCGCCCCGTGCAGCCCTTCCTGCGCCTCATGCGGTTGGACAAGCCCATTGGTGAGTGCGGGCGGGCCGTCCAGGGGGCTGCGGGCGTGAAGCCGAAAGCCGCGGCACCCAGCCCTCAGGACAGCCGCCCTGGGCGCCCACCCCTGGCTTTCACATCCCTCTGACCCCTCAGCGCCCGACAACGGCAGAAGCTCGCTGCTTCCGCAATCCTTGTTTAAATAATGAATCAAGAGGAAATTCCATGCTCGTTTCACTCTATTTGCACGTATTCACATTGCACTTCCTCATTCATTCCCATGATCCTTCCCACAGTTCTGTAAGGCTCCCAAAGCAAATATTTAAGACAATCATGACGCGGAGGAAACTACGGTTCTTTGGCAGAACCAGACCAGACAAGCCTAGCACTTATTTGATGCTGAATTCTCTCTCTTTGCCCAGCACCACCCGTAACAAAAGATTAGTTAAATTGAAAGCGGCAGGTACAAGGTGTATGAATTGCCTGCCTGTCAGCTCACAAGTCGCCCCCAAGGGAGAATTTCCATAACCTTCCTATTTAAAATAATACCTACCACCTCACTCTATCCCTGTGTCCTCTGTGTCCTCTTTTTCACTTCTTAGCACTCACCACTGACATGTTTTTATTGATTTATTGACTTCTCCAATATAATCTAACCTCCACATGTATGGGACTTTTCTATCTTGCCTATAACAGAGCTTGGCACTAGTATTAAAGGAATGAATTCCTACCATACCGCCTAGCTTCAGAGATAGAAAGAGCTATGGAAACTCCCTACTTTCAAGGAACTCCCAGTCTAGTTGAAAAAGACAAACTTGGGTGAGCTAGGAAAGTATGGGATCAAATATTAATGGTACAGATGGCAATTGCTACCATTGGAAAAAGAGTAATTACTGGAATCTCCATTGATGGAAAAAGCTTCAAAAACAAATTGGATCTCAAAGGGCAGGTTTATTTTGCAGAGACTAGAAGAGATCTTGATTGATGGGGGAAATATTTTTGCAAAAACCCAAGGGTGGAGAATTGGAAGACCAGGTGGGTGTAGGAAATACCTGGAAACAAGGTTGAATAAGAGCTGGATTGAGGAAGATGGACAGTGGGGAGGAAGAGGTGGAGGCTGAACTCCAGGTATTCTAGATGGCAGCATTTGCCATTACAGTGCTTGGAAATACATTCAAATTCCTAGATACATTCACTCCATCGTTGCCCAGCCAAGACCCCAAATTAGGCCTTGTTTTTGGTATTCTAGGTTTATACATTACTTATTTGGGATCAGAACACTAAGAGTTATAACCATCAAGAGTTAAAATGTAAAAGCAAATTAAGTAACAGGCACAGCCCTGCCATCATGATCTCTTGCATTTTGAGGCATTGCATTCAAGTTGAATGGCATAAATTTCCAAGCCCAATTCTCATCTGAAGCCTGACTCTGATTGTGTTCTTGATGCTTGTGTCACAGAGCTGCAGTGTGAGTTTACAGGCATCCAAGACAAATAAATGACTGCCATTATTCCCACAGAACCTCTGGCTTCTGTGTTAGTGAATAGCCTTCCCCACCATATAATAAGAGGCTCTGGAACCAGACCTTTGGGGTTTTTTTCTCCACTCTGCCCATTTGAAGGACTTCAGTTAAGTTATGTTACCTCTCTGGGCCTTCATTTCTCATCTATGAAATGAAGATACCAATAATACTGACTTTATTAGGTTGTTGTGAGACTTCATTATATATATCAAGTTCTTAGAACAGTGCCTGACATAGTAAGTACTCAAGAAATGTTAACCGTTATTACTAAAGAAGTGGGTATTGGAGATTGGCTTCATAGTTATTATGTATGTGATAATACCAGCCTGCATGCTTTGGTTCTAAGTAGGGTGATGATTGCAGGATTTTTCAGACAACTTACTGATAGTACTGTGCTAAAATTCAACAAACCTTTTTTCAGGCCCTACTGTATGCCAGTAACAATAAATTGGCAGTAGTAGAATTTTTAGTTTGATATTTCTTGAAGTTGTTATTTTGTGGGGATAATTTTATGTTCATTGTTTTGCTTTGTTGAAGTTGGAGATTGTTACCTTCATAAAGTGAGTTTCTTTTTTTTTCAAATTGAATTACAACTTCTTTCAAATGAGTGAAACTTCATTATTTCGGGAAGCTCCAGCAGGTGGCACTCTTTCCACTAAATTGGTGGTGTAATTTCTGTTTTAGGTCATTTGTGGGTGATTATGTTGTTTTTAAGATAATGCGTAATTAGTGATTGAATCTTAGACTCAATTTACACAGGCTCACCTTGCCAACTCTGCATCTTTCTTCACAGAAGAGAGCGTAATGAAAGTGTCATAAGGAAGACAGGAGAAAATGTTGCTGAGAACCAGGAGGGCAAAAGAGCAGTAAGAACTTAAGTGTCTGTAGAGATTGAGGTATACAAAGTGGTAGCAGTGGCCTTAGGACGTAGAATGGAGCCAGACTTGCCTGGGCTTGAATTCTAGCTGTGCCACTTGTCTTTGTGACCTTGGGCAAATTACTTTCTCTGTGCTTCAATTTCTGTATCAAATGTATAATAAAAATAGTGCCTCATAGGTTTGTTGTGAGAGCAAAAAGTGTTATATGACAGCACTTGGCACATGTTAAGTGCTATATATATTTATTACTGTTTTTGTTTTCATCATTACTAGTGTCATAACAATTCTAAGAGGTAGATGTTCTTTCCTTTCATTTATAGATGGGGAAGACTTAAAGCTTAATGTAGAACTTTGGAGTCAAGGCATGGAATTTAGTATCTAGCAGCACTCCCCTTACTAGGCAGACATGGAACCAACTGATGGAATCCGGACCTGAGTACCACCTTTTGAATAAGCCCACCCACCATCTCAGAGAGACCTAAGTGTCATCTTACCTAGGCTACAAGCATTCTCCAGAGGACACGTCAGCAAGCCACAAACCCACCTTTTTCCTGACCCCTACCCTCAAAGAGCCCACCAAAAACCCTGGCCATAAAAAGCCTCTTGACCTGTTAGAGACCCTTCTTTTCTTTGTTCTGCTGGCCAGGACAGAGGGGTCCCTCTCAGGTATAGTAATAAACCTGCTTGGACTGTTGAGTTTGCATCCCTTTTACCAACAATCTGAATTTCACCTGCACTACAGGACCCCTCCTCATCTATAAGGGTTGCCCTACAGATTCCATCAATAAATGAATGTGGTACCTATAATACAAACTCAATGGCCAAGGAAATTTTGCTCCTTACACAAAATGCTATAGGGGATTACACATCTTTCTTACCAGAATTCTTTTAAATTCACTTCTAATTGCTCCAGGAAAATAATGCCTATGAAGTGGTGTTCTTTTGTTTCTAGCAGGATAAGATCAGTGTCTTGCCAATGGGTTTCAGCTCCATACAAGTTCACTATGGATTCAGTGCAACCAAAGAAATGACAGTAGAACATTCTTAGGGTGAAAGGGTTATACCTAACTTTATTCCCATGGTGTCAGGTCATTCACTAGAACCCTGTCCTCTCAGAGAGAGTCTGCATGCAGCAAGCCGGTCTCTGCCTCAGGGCCTCTCTACACCCGCAGCTATCTCAGTCTCTGTCCTAGGCACTGCCACCACTCCAGCCTCTGCTCTGCTCTCCTGTAACCTTGCAGCTGTGCTACCATGTCACCTAGAGCACTGAGTAGGGCTCTTTATATAGAGTCCATAATGACATATTGCCCATACATGTGTAGTGAGCTAGCCAGCCAGGGCCAGGTGAGAATCCTGGTCACAGGAACCTTCACTTTATCCACAATCAGTTGCTGGTGCCTCAGAGCTATACTGGTGGGTGGATTCAGGGAGAAGCAAGTAGTTATGTTTTACTCTACCTCTCGGTATATGTTTCCTCAGATGTAAGTAGGAATAATAATATTGCCTACTTTATAAGGATGTTGTTGAGAAGTAAATGAGTTTATGCATATAAAGCACTTAGAACCCTGTCTGGCACTTGACAAAAATTCAGTTAATGTTAGCTATTATTGTTATTGTTTTAGGTGGGACACACTGAATAGGACTATGTCCAGGACAACCTGAATTGGGGTCTGGACTCACCATACCTTGTTTTCAACCTTTTCTTGCCTTTTATGCTGTTAGTTTAAGCCCCTTCTGAAAAAGCTTCCCTGATTCCTCCCCTCTCCCTCTCCCATTAACTCGGCTGTCACTGTTTTATGCCTCTGTGGGACCTGCACTTGCCTGGTTTTTAATTAATCTATTTTGTTGTTATTGTTTCTTTAACTGTGCTTGTTTCTTTTGATTTATCAACTGTGTGAAGGCAGAAACCAGCTCTCTGTTAGTCCCATTGTTTTCCCAGTTCCTAGGACAGCCCTGACACAAGGTGTGCTTTATAAATACTAGCAAATGAATAAAGCTTAAACTTAAGGTGACTATAGGGACTTTATCATTTGCCCATTTTTGTACAGGATCTGATCTTTCTTTAGCCACATACTCTTTTTCTCTTATATCACTAAATAAGGAAGAAAATAAGGAAGGAAAGTTTGAAATATTTCTAATAGACACCATGTCCAAACATTTAAGAGACTCTTTTTTGAAAGGAGAATATCTACTAAAGTTCAAATGTGAAGTCCCCTATCCATACAGTCTATTTGGTTTTAGCTTAATTTCATTTAGTATTTGGGCTAAGTGCCAAGAACTAATTCCATTTGTGCATATGGCTGCAGAATACTTTAAAAAAGCAAGTTAATAACCTCTCTCCCCCAATGCCATTTTATTATATTGTATTAACAACAGTAAGGAAAGTCTTAATAACTTTTGAGCAGGTAATTCATGCATATGATAAAAATTAAGGTGCAAGGGTGGAGAGTGAAAACTAAGTCTTCCACTCCTGTTCTCCTCTTGAGCGGCAGCTACTATCAGTTTCTGTTGTATCTTTCCTGACATGGTCTATGAACATACTAACATGCAACTGTATGCATTTGCTTTATATGTATGTGTGTGTGTGTGCTTATATTTACATGCATACACACACGCACAGTAAAATATTTTTAGGTTGTCCTCCACAAGAGTCCAGCCAATTTATTACCTCATCAGAAATGCACCAGAGTATCTGACACCCCAGGGTGTATTGTCAGACTTTGGGTTTTACTGATCTGATAGGTGAAAAAAGTTTATCTCAATGTAATTTTAATGTGTGTTTAATGTTGGGTTATCTTTTAATATGTATAAGAGCCATTTGCATTTCTTTTTCTATGAACTTCTGTTATGCTTTTTTGTTCACTTTTTACTTGGATTATTGATCTCTTTTCAGTTTCTAGGAACCCTACACATTAGGAAGAGGAGTCCTTTTTGATATGAGTTGCAGATTTATTTTCCCAGTTTGTCATGTGTTTTTGACTTTGTGTTCTTTACTTCTTTGGGATAGAGTATGTAAACAAATGAAGGCACTTAACTCACTTGAATTTTAACCTTTTTGTCTTTTCTTTTTGCTTAGGAACCTGGCTGCTATATCTGCCATGTACTTGGAGCATTGGTTTAGCAGCTGAACCAGGTTGTTTTCCAGATTGGTACATGTTATCCCTCTTTGGCACTGGAGCTGTTCTGATGCGTGGAGCAGGCTGTACTATTAATGACATGTGGGACCGGAACTATGATAAAAAGGTATTTTCTTTCTGGAAAGCAACATAGGCTTCTCTCAGTTCTTCATAGTAATATGATGGTTAACTGTGTTATGTTGGTGTCCTTCTTACCCTGAAACCCAGGGTAAGAAATGCTGGTATCGGTTGAACAGCTGATACTGCAAGTCTAGTGTACTTCCATTCTCTACATAAGAGCGGCCATGGGGACAAGGTGTATACTTCAGTTTTACAAAATGAGTTAGAATGTAGAAGGCCAGGGTAAGGATATTAGAGAAGGTGAAAAAAATCTGACCTGAACCTTAGGGTGTCCAAAAGAGCCGTCATCCTTCCCTTTGAGATCCACGTTGGAGCTATATAGATGGGAGCTTTGTGTAACTATTCTTATACAAGTCAAATCTTAATTTAAAGAGTCAAGGCAGTCCCTGTTAGCATTTGCATAATTATTTCTTTAAAAAACGTAATGTTCTTTTTTCTCTTAAGAAAAGCAATACATATTTGTTCTGAAAAATTCAGGCAACACAGAAATAGAAGGATAGAAATAGAAATGGAGGGATAAAATTACAAATCTTCCTTATCTCCTCCCTCAAACCCCCAGTGAAAACTTCATTTAAAAGTTTGGTGCATATTCCTCTGGATTATTTCCTATGCATATTCTTACGCATGTGTATAAGTGTTTCATTCTTCCTCAATAGACTGTTATTTTCTCAAGGGAAGAGTCCATCTCACTTGCCTTTTATCCTAGCAGCTGTGTTATAACAAGTACAAGAGCTTGAGCAATAATCAAGTAGATTTTCAATTTAAAACTGACCCATGAGCCAGGCCAAGCCCACAGCAACAGCGGAGATAAAACCAAAAAAAAAAAAAAAAAAAAAACTGACCCATGGTGAATTTATAAAGTAAATAATCATCCCTAGTTTGCCGTTCATGTAAGTTTGAATTTTCTTAAAGGAAGGCATACCTGTAGTGATTTTTAGTTTATAGAACTGTATCACATTAATATATTTTTAATTTAAAAAAATTCATTGAATACTTGTATGTGAAACACAGTGACAGGTTCTAGGATTGCATGAAGAAAGAAAGACAGCATTCCTGACCTCATAGTTAGTGATTATAATACAACAGCACTGTCATGAGAATGGTGTCCTCAAGGGAACACTGAAGACTGTCTACTTCAGCCAAAAGGAGGAAGCTAGAGAGAATTTTCTGGGAGTTCTACATGTGACCTTTGAACTGTGATGGAACAAGATGGGGGAAAAAAGGTGGGCTACAGGGCAGAGGTCATCTTAGGCAGAGAGAACAGCTGTTGTAGAGACATGGCTGTGAAATAAAGTATATTACACTTAACAACTGCAACTGTGTGTCTTGTGTGTGGCTGGAGAATAGGATAGGGGCAGGGAGGCGGGAGCTGCATGTCAAAAGCATCTCTGTGTCCTGCTGACCCAGTTGGGGTACCTTGATGCATGCCAGCAGATGCATACTTTCTTGATTTGGGGTTTCACAATATCCTTCTCAGTTTTTCATTCTGCATAACCATATGAATGAGTCTCTGGCATATAACACTTCAAAATAATTCTTAAACATCTTTAGAGCAGCTAATGTCAAAATCCTGGTTGTGATATTTTATTGTCCTGAGAAGTTTTGAAGGGTGTTACCCTTAGGGGAGACTAGATAAAGGATACATGGGATCTCTATATTTCTTTAAATACATAGCTTTTTTTTAAAACTGCATGTGAATCTACAATTATCTCAAAGTAAAAAGGTTAATTAAAAAATAGTGTATCCAACCAATGAATTTTTTCTTTTTTAATTAACAAAATATGACCATTTTTGTCCCCTCTTCAGTGATTTTTTTCTCCCCAGAAAAAAGTAAATAAATATCTTACATAGCCCACCTGACACTTCTCTCTGATCAGAGGAGTCCATATTCTGTATTGACATAAAGCACTCAGTGTTTTAAAACTACTGAAATGGTTGTACTCATGTGAATTTTAAAATGTTATGTGCAACTTTTTATTTTTTTATTATATTGGGGTACATATAATAAAATACACAAATATTAGTGTATAGCTTGATGAATTTTGACATTGTATACATTCATGTAACTACCAGCCAGATAAAAATATCAAGCATTCTCACTAATTTTTCTCCCTTCACCTATTTCAACCATCCCCCACCCCTCTCCTTTTAAAAAATCTAATTTCTTTTTTTAATGTATTCACTTTTTAAAAAAAAAAACCCAGTTCACCCATTTCTTCTATCCCATTCTCCCCACAACCCCTTACAACTACTAATCTATTCCCTGTACCTATGAGTTTCGGTTGTCCTTTTGTTTGTTTTTAGATCCTACATATAAGAGAGATCATGTGTTATTTATCTTTTTCTGTCTGACTTATTTCACTTAACATAGTGCCCCCCGGGACCATCCATGTTTCCTCAAATGGCAAGATTTCATTTCTTTCTTTTAATGGTTGAATAATATTCCCGTGTGTGTGTGTGTGTGTGTGTGTGTGTATATGTGTGTGTGTGTATACTACAATTTTATCACTCATCTATCAATGGAAACAGGTTGTTTCCATATCTTGGCTATTATAATTAATGCCACAGTGAACATGGTAGTTGCGTGTGTCTTCTCAAATTAGTATGTTCATTTTTTTGGATAAATACCCAGAAGTAGAATACCTGGATCATATGATAGTTCTGTTTTTAATCTTTCGAGGAACGTTTATACCATATTCCACAGTGGCTGCACCAATTTACATTCCCACCAACAGTGTAGGAGGGTTCACTTTTCTCCACATCCTTGCCAATACTCTTCTTTTTTGTCTTTTTGATAATAACCATTCTGACAGGTATAAGGTAATACCTCATTGTGGTTTTGATTTGCATTCCCCTGGTGATTAGTCATGTTGAGCATCTTTTCATATGTCTGTTGGTCATCTGTATATCTTTGGAAAAATATCTATTCAGATCTTCACATTTTTTAATTGGATTGTTTGTTTTTTTGCTAATGAGTTCAATGAGTTTTTTATGTGTTTTAGGTATTAGTCCCTTATCAGATATATCATTTGCAAATATATTCTCTCATACAATAGGTTGCATTTTCATTTTGTTGATGGATTTTCCTTTGCTATACAGAAGCTTTTTAGTTTGATGTAGTCCTACTTATTTATTTTTGCTTTTGTTGCTTTTGGTTTTGGTGTCAGATTAAAAAAAAACCATTGCCATGACCTGAATCAAGGAGCTTACTGCCTGTGTTTTCTAATAGGAATTTTATGGTTTTAGGTCTTATATTCAAGTCTGTATTCCACTTTTATTTAATTTTTGTGTATGGTGTAAGATAGTGGTCCAGTTTCATCTTTTGCATGTGGCTGCCCAATTTCCCCACCACCATTTATTGATGAAGCTGCCCTTTCCCCGTGGTATATCGGCGCCTTTGTTGTAACTTAACTGACCATATACATGGGGGTTTATTTCTGTGCTGTCTGTTCTGTTCCATTGATCTGCGTCAGTTTTTATACCAATATCATACTGTTTTGATTACTATAGCTTTTTAATATAGTTTGAAATCAGGGAGTGTGATACCTCCAGTTTTGTTGTTCTTTCTCAAGATTGCTTTGGTTATTTGGGAGTCTTTTGTGGTTCCAAACAAATATTAGGATTCTGTGATTAAGATATTTCTGTGAAAAATACCATGGGAATTTTGATAGAAATTACATTGAATCTGTGTATTGCTTTGGGAGTATGAACATATTAGCATTTAATTCTTTCAATCCATGAGCATGGACTATCTTTCCATTTATTATTTGTGTCTTCCATTTCTTTCATCAATATCTTGTAGTTTTCAGTATAGAAATCTTTCATCTCCTTGGTTAGATTTATTCCTTGGTATTTTATTCTTTTTGATGAGATTATCATTGTAAATGGTTTTCTCAATTTCTTTTTCTGATAGTTCATTATTAGCATAAAGAAATATAATAGAGTTTTGCATTTTAAAGAAAGTTTAAACACTTGCCAAATGAATGCGTACCTCACAGTTTCTTAAAGACTGCGTGTGTTCATGGCTCAGAGTTTTGCTTAATACATTAGATGAGAAGTAAATTGCTAATACATTAAATGATAAGTGAATCATTATTAGGATATGGGTTGTGTTTTGTTGATGTTGTATATAATCAATAGGCATGTGATAAACATTAGGCCCATAAACATTGAAATAATCTCAATGCACAGGTATTAATGATTTGGTTTTGTAACCTGTGAGCTTCTTTATTAAAACCACATAAAGTATGTTTTAACATAATGTTACATTGTTTTTAGTCTTTTGATGGAGTTCTTATTTATTTTCAGTTCTTATATTATTTTCAGATAAATTTAGCTAGGTAATCATCACTGTACTAGAGGGGCAGTGTAATCGTATGGGTTTTTTTAGTGTGGTTGGTGGGACTAGAAAGTCACTGAGCCCTTCTGCCTCAGTGTCCTAAGACAGAAATGATGAGAACTTGAGAGTGGCCAAAAGACAGGGTTGTCATGAGGATTCAGGGATATGATGCATATATATGTATCTCTTAGAACAGTGGCACATTGTAGGAACTCAGATACTAGCTGGAATAATCATAACATCCTGAAACAAATATAAGAACATAAATTTATTTCCAACGGAAACTAAAGGGACCAAAGCCAGGATAAAAGATCCACTTCCGGCACTGTAACCAAGATGAGTTGTCACAATTTTTGACAAACTTATTGCACAGTGAAGCATGCTATAAATTGGGCCAGCAATTTTTTCTGTAAAAGACTAGATAGTAAATATTTTAGGCTTTGTGGGCCATACTGTCTTTGTTGTAACTATTTGACTCTTTTGGAGTGTAAAAGTATCCATATACAATATGTACACAAATGAGTGTGTCTCTGTTTTAGTAAAATTTTATTTATGCACACTGAAATTTGCATTTCATGTTATTTTCATATGTCACAGTACATTACTCTTTTTAAGATTTGTCTGAAAAGTAAAAACTATTCTTAGATCATGAGCTATACAAAAACAGGAAGTAGGCTGGATTTGGCCTTTAGGGCATCATTTGCTAACCTTTGATATAAATAATACAAAAATATGGTATATTATTAATAGTTAACACTGCATATTTATATGCTTCAAACACTGTATTTACTCTATGAGGTGGGTGCTATTGTTACCTTTCCATCTTCTCCCCATTTCTGTTTTTCCTTTAACAGGTGAGTAAGAAAGGTTAAATAGTCTACTAAAATTCACACAGCAAATAGGTAATGGAAATGGATTCAAATGTTGGGCTGTCTGGCCCTAGATCCTGAGTTATTAACTTCTAACAATGTTGAAAATTTTGGTTATGCTCTTTATTTGTGATTAAGTTTAAAATAATCACATTTCATGATCTCTTGGAAGGAAAAGAACAATTAATACATGTCATTTGTCCACATAATTGCTCTGTCTGTTAATATTGTTATAGTGAATTTGCCCTTTATATTTGGGTGCAACTAGTATAAGTTTAAAGACCCTTCCCTAAATGGCAAAAGCACTCCCACTTTCCGACCCAGATTATCTGTCTTCTTTCTTCCTTCACATATGATTTCTAATTGCAGTGCTCCTTATACACAGGACATTTCTCTGGTACTAGCTTATCTACCATGCCCTGCATTTTCCTCTTTCCTGAGGAGTCTCATTACTATAGCCTTTCTTTTCTCTGTGGAAATCGAACATATACTTACTGAGTAGCTAAATAGCTAGATTAAGAAGTTGCTTTGTTTTATTTGTAGATGGGGATGGGAGATAGAAAGAAAGGGAAACAAGTAGTGGGAATTTTCAGTTCTTTTCAAAGCTGTTTTAAATATGAAATTTTGCTCCTTGGCAGTACTTCTGATGTTGATTTCACTTTTTATTCATATTTTTGCCTTAGTACCTACCATGGGCCAGTCTTTTGATTAAATGTTTAAATAAATGATTGAGCCATTACATGAGCTAAGGTGTTCCATTTTTATGTGTTAAGGTAACAAGAACAGCAAATCGCCCAATAGCTGCTGGAGACATTTCAATTTTTCAGTCCTTTGTTTTTCTTGGGGGACAACTGACCTTGGCACTGGGTATTCTTCTGTGTCTGAATTACTACAGGTATAGTAAATGTGTTTTTCATAATCATGTATAAAATCTCTCCTTTGAAATGGAAGAAGTAGGAATACAATAAAATTGAAATACCTTAATTACAAAGTTGTTTACTGGCTACCTATCAAGCATCTGTAAGTTAGCGTATTGTAAAATTTAGAAGCCAGAGGAATCATGAGATCAGCATATAATTTATTCTGAACCACTTTCAGTTCTTATACTACGTGTTCCACTACATGTGTCCTCTAAGAGACACAAGGCACTTTCATAGGCTTTTTAGGTGCATGCATGTGTGTATATATACCCATACATAAAATTTTATTTATCTTAACAGTATATCTGAAATAGATAGAAGCAGAAGTGATAAAATTCATTTTGCAAAAAGAGGAACCAAGTCTTTCCCAGAGTAATGTTCCTAATCAGTGACAGAAGAATAAGTGGAAGGACTCACCCCTATATCTCTTAAACAGAGACAAAACTTCTCTGCATCAGATGGCTGCTTACGAAGTGCTTCAATGAAAAAAAGGAGGTCAGCAAAGAAGCATTACTTTGTAGAGTCTCAACTTAATTGCATATCTTGCCCTGATAGCATCAGTCACATGAAAACACTGAGGAAGGTTATTCCTGAGGGGTAGTGGTTGGTGAGCTTTGAGGTACCTGAGAATATCTTAATGTTATCATTCCCTTATAGGTGCTTTACGACATGTAGAGTAGTAACACCCCATCATTCATAAACGAGGGTATCTTGACTCATTCTCTGTTAAGACCTCTCAGTTTACTAGCTATCTTAATGTTTGAAATCAGAATTTAATGTGGTAGTAGCATATGATGGGTAAGATGTCGGACTCTGGAGCCACACTGCCTTAGTTTTGATTCCTGGTCCTGGTACTGACTGGCTGTACTGTATGGTAACTGACAAATTCCTTAATCTCCTTGACCTTTCGTTTCCTTATCTGCAAAAAACAAGTAGAATAAAACTATCTGTCTTTTAAGGTCCTGGTGAAGATTATAATGAGTTAACGTATATAGGGCAGTTAACGCCTGATACATAAAAGTACTCTGTGTGGTAGCTATTGTTATTTTGTTTGGTTGTTTTGTGACATTTAAAATATTTTCTAATTGACCTATATCCTAATCAAAGTCTGGGAATCAAGTCCAGGAAGATAATTTTACATAAAAAAAATGTAATTTTAAGATAAATCATTTTGCAATTAATATTACTATTGTTGTCTTTTTTAGCATTTTCTAAGAAATGGTGATATTAATCTTTTTAATGTTTTTTCTTGATTTCAGTATAGCTCTGGGAGCAGCATCCCTATTTCTTGTCATTACCTACCCTCTAATGAAGAGAGTTACATACTGGCCTCAATTGGCCTTAGGTGAGCTTGAAATAACTCTTTAAGTATTTCCTTCAATACCCTCAAACTGTACTTTTATTATAATATCATATATGTTTATATAAAATACATGTAATGTCATATCATATGTACTTTTATATATACTATATATTATATAATTTTATATATAATGTCATGTATAATACTTTTATATATAATATCAATATTATATATTGACAGTAACATACAATATGTGGCAGAGATGAAATGTCAGCCATGAAATTTTCCAAACCAGGAATAGGTTTGCATATTTTTAAAAATGGCAATTAGCCATTCTTAATAGCTAAGCAATCTTACATATTTATTGTCACTGTTAATGTTTTCAGAAATGATCTTTTAAAAGCCTAGGTGTGTCAGGAGGGAAAAAAAATGAGCTGCCTTGACCCTCCCTTCTCTTTAGGCAGCTGATCTAGATGCCCTGAGGCTTTGGGGCCTGAAGTAGAAAGAACTCTCAGGTAGAACAGGGTTAGTGTGTGAGGACTTAGCTCCCCTTTACCTGAAGCCCTTCTTAGACCTCTCAGGAAAGAGTTAGCCTGCTCTCTACTGGGCTCCCATAGCACTCTGATGGGGCACTTACCACGCCAACAAGAAGACACTGAGAGCCTCCTCTGTCTCCCCATTGATAAATTTAGGTAAATGCCTAAAAGGTCAAGCTTGCTTTACATGTGGATGGCTGGCATCTAACAAGCAGCATTGGGTGCTTTACAGGCATTCAATAGATGTTTGTTGGTAAAAAGAGAAAGGTAGGCAGGGAAGTCAAAATCTATTGCAAAAATAACTACTGCTAGGCTTTTCTCCTCTAGTCCCAGAATAAAACAGAATATTCCTAGAACTATGCTAGTTCTTTGAGCTATTTTTTCAGTAAATAAAAGAAGAGCCAAAGACACTCCAAGAAACTGATGTGTGCCTGTCTTGTGGGAAAGTTGTGGTGGCATGTTCACCTTCTTCTAAGATCCTGTCAGTCAATGTTGTATTTCTTTTCATTATTTAAAAAAGAAAATAGGACATTATATTCTCAACTAACCTGGGAATCTTTTGGTAAGAGGTGAGTAAGCATTTCCTTTGTATGAGATATACTAAGAAAGCTGGTATATTTACTTCAAATATTTGTTGAACCCCCAACTTTTATTTTGTGCCAGTGATCACACCAGGTGGTAGGAAAATAAAAATGACTAAAACACATTCCCCGGCCTGAAGGAGCTAGAGAAGAAGACAACAGATAAGCAGGTCATTGTAGTACAGTGTACTGGTATGCGAGAGTGCTCTGGGACCACAGAGGAGGGGCATTTAATCAGGTGAGGAGAAGGGATTCTGAGTGGAAATTGACAGTATGGGAGGAGAAAAACAGCTTCTGGGACAAGATATTTGGAACCCATTGAGTTTGAGGTGCCTGAGGGACTTGCAGGTAGAGATGTCCACTGCCTGGTCTGAAGCTTAGGGAAGTGATCAGGTTGGCACATAGAGACTTAGGAACTGTCAGCGTGTAGATATTTGTTTACAGTCCTCATAGATGATGGGCCTGTAGAATAAATAAGTGTTCCTGTCTGTAAGCTTGTTTCTGTAGCTTTTAGTCAGGAAGCAGAGTGAAAATGGAAAGAGCACAGGATTTTGACTCAGAGAGGTCCAAGTTCAGACCCCAGCATGTACTGTTTATTGGCTGTGCCAGAAACCACAGTAAGGAGGATAAATGTTCCCATGAAAACTATTTATCAGGGGGATATTAATCTTTTTATTAGCTGTGTTATTTTAATTTTTAATTCTCCTCTCTGGACCTGTTTCCTTTTTTGTAAAAGGTAGCTAATAACTACCACAGAGAGTTGAGAGGACGTAAGGAACAAACATGTTAGAAAACAGCATACACAGGGCCCAGTACACTGAAGCCCTGAATACTGCTCATGCCCTCGCCTTCCCCTTGGGATTCTCAGGTTCATTTAGACTTGTCCTCTCTTTCTGTTGCACTGATTGTAGGGTTCACTTTTAACTGGGGAGCATTACTTGGATGGTCTGCTATCAAGGGCTCCTGTGATCCATCTGTTTGCCTGCCTCTCTATTTTTCTGGAATTATGTGGACTCTAATATATGATACTATCTATGCCCATCAGGTAAAGAAATTATACCTATTTTGTTAACTTTGGCTTAGTTAGTGTTTTTTAAGAACCAAATTAAAGGGAAAGTATTTTTTCCTAAAAAGAAAACATTAACACTTCCACAGTGCCAATAAATATTTTTATTTCATGTATATGTATGTTTACCAAAGAGATCAACTCATTTATTTTATTTTATTTAAAATAAAATGAAATTTAAATTTATCTTATTTACAAGCATTTGAATCATATTTATTACATATGATAGCACTGTCTTAAATACCTTACAAATCCTAATTTAACCTCATAACCACCTGTGAGGAAGGTACTTTTATTATCCTCACTTTACAGATGAAACATGGACCAGTGACTTGTGTCACACAGTCAGTGGAAGGCAGAACCGAGGTTCGGGAGCTTTTAACTGCCCCTGTCCTGCCCTTCTTTGGATGCCTCAAGTGGTTGTAGGAGGCAGCCCTTTTACCTAGCATAGGTAGTAAACATCTTCCCCTTTTACCTATTTTTGTCATTATCACTTTAAGACTGCATCATAGCCCATTGAGTTAATATGCCACATTTTTTAGGTTAATAGGTTGTCCATTTTTGGCCTTTTAAGTTGTTTTGAGTTTCTGCAATTATAAATAATATTGTCCTAATCACTAATATCTTTGTGAATGTGGGGGGTAAATTTTTAGGAGTGGTGTTATTTAGTTAAATGACATAAACATTTTAATAGCTTTTGATACTGCCTTTTTTATAAGCTTAATAAAAACTCTTTGGCTTTTCTTGGTTTGTGTTCTTAAATTACCTTTTAAGTTTATAAACTTTGAATAAAGGTTATTTTTCTCAATTTTTTGCAGTATGACTGTACTTAAATAATATGTCATGATTTAATGAAAGTTATTTCAAATATCTCATCTGGATTTCATCCTGCTTTCTTTCATTAACCCCATTCCCCACTAGATCTGTATTATCATGAAAAAGTTTGCCAGATCTGTAATCAGCCTGATTTTCTGACATGAAACCTGACTGACAGTTGAGAAGAGATGTCTATACTTTTTGCTGTAAGGTCTGGAACCAGTGGTCAGGATAACTGTACTCCAGTTAGGTTAGCTCTTCAGTAAAACACATTCTCATAGACACTTCTGTGATCCACATAATTAAAGATAGTTTTGCACTGTGATGGTGCTTGGGGTATGAAAGGAAAAATATACACTAACCCCAAACCCATTATTATCTGGATTTGGGACTCCAGAAGATAGCCAATCAGATAGCTCTCTGCCTGCAAGTAGATGCAGAGTTTAGCTTTCAGACTCTGTTATCACAAGATCATAATTACAACACTATATAGAAATATAAATAGAGTTGCTGAAGGAGACCAGTCAGCTGGACATGAGTGTATCAGCAAAACTTAGCTCTACTTGAACAGAAAGAATTTGATGGGAGAGGTAAGGAATAAATTGAGCCAGAAGTGAAATGTGAATGGAAATGGTTAGGTGGCAAGTGAGCATTTTTTCTACATACATCATTTTAGCAAGATTGAAATAAAAAATGTACAGGAAATTATTAAGACTTGAGAACTCTGAGGTAAGGAGGGACTATGTGAAGAATTAGAATTGAATTTTACTATATAAAAGTAGTTAGAAGTCATAATGGAATAAGAAAAAGAAACACAATGACATGTAGAAATAGAGATGGAAGATAACTTTATCAGTAACATTTAACTGATCTGACCCACACATTCATTACTGATCAACTTATGTTTCCAACTTAACTGTTACCTTTCAAAGCTTATGGTTTATCTTTATGTTTATAACTAAATAGTCTTTAACAGACAATTTCTTCTGAAATTAGATAGTGGTAATGGTTGCACAACCTTGTGAATATACTAAAACCACTGAATTGTACACTTCAAATGGTGAATTGTGTGGTATGTTAATGAAAACCAGACAATTTCTTATTACTTTCTTTTGTTAGGACAAGAGAGATGATGCTCTGATTGGTCTTAAGTCCACGGCACTGCGGTTCCGTGAAAATACTAAGCAGTGGCTCAGTGGCTTCAGTGTGGCAATGCTGGGGTCCCTGAGCCTGGTAGGGGTGAACAGCAATCAGACCTTACCCTACTACGCTGCTCTGGCTGCCATAGCAGCCCATCTGACTCACCAGGTTTGACCTTTTTTTCCCCTCATTTTCCCTTGGTGTAAATTATAAAAATGACTTTAAACAAAATGACCTCTGTGTTTACCAAGCAAGGTACTTAATAAAAGAAACAACTGCTTGGCTTGAGCTTCCTTGAACCACCCTCCCCCTTGTCCCAACTTCTCATATAAAAAAGCTTGCTATATTATTTTAGAGAAATAATCTTAACCTAAACCTAGATTTCCATCAGATTTTTCTGAAATTACTATGATTCATTTCTGGAAAAATTTCAGCGGTGTCTGAAGGTTGTAGGATGAGTTGCATTACTCTGAAAGCAACCTGATTGATACAATGCTTACACATGTATGGGGGTATTTTTGATTATCGTATAACCAGTATCAGGGGGGTCACTACAAGCATTTCGTGGGTGAGGGCCAGATACATTATATATCTTTCATTGCACTAAACAGCCCCACACAATTGAGAGTTGGCCTGCCTGAGTGTGACTTGTTCTCATGTTGAGAATCATAGCTGCAAAGAATAAAGCTCATTTGAGATGACTGGAGATAAGAGTTGTAGAAAGCAGATATTAGTCAGTGTAAGAAAGAGCTTTCTAAATAGAACTTAAAATAGCGTAGGTTGCCTCAAAGTGTTCATGGAAGTTTTTTGGACATAGCTTAGATGAAGCCAGTGAGAGAGATGGTAGATTTCTACATTGGGATACAGTTTGGGGTATTTCAGGGGCTTCCCATTGTTTAAAATTCTTTAACAAAGTCCTGTCACCTTCTCTGTATTGATGTGTTTATGGTTCCAAGAAGTCCATACTAAGTAAGTACTAAATGCAGCATTGTGTTCTTCTCTTACAGATTTACACTCTAGACATCCACAGACCTGAGGATTGTTGGGATAAATTTACCTCCAACCGAACATTAGGACTAATAATTTTTTTAGGGATTGTCCTTGGGAATTTATGGAAAGAAAAAAAGACAGATGAAGTAAAGAAAAATATAGATAGTAAAACAGAAAATTAGCCAATGAGTTTTATGTATGAATTTTTTAAGACAAACTTTTACAGAAAACTCTCAGGTCTTGTTACCACATAATTAGATTTGAATAAGCAGTCTCACAATATGTTAAAGAATTAAGAACCAAAAGATGAAGACTTAGAACATATTTGCCAGGGTTTTAGTTCAGTTATTTACTAGTAAAATTCTTCCCCTATCCCAGGAAACTAGGGACTCTTCGGGATTTGAGATGACTGAGCATTTGCATGAATGTATTCTTCTGCTTGTTACAATCCTCAGCTCCAGGTATGGAAATTGTATGAGTTTGGGCACTTTAGAGGAAACCTGGTATGTATCTCATCTAAATTAATGTCTATAGGAAACTGGACTTTCTTTTTAAGGAAAAATGAAAGCAGCTGCAGAAATTTGAGGTTTATTGTTCTTCACTGTGACCTTTCCTCATTGCCAAAAACTGTAATTCAGGAAACCATTCTGTTTTTTATATTTTAGGAGAATTTAAAAGAGTAAATAAAAATTTTTACCTACTGTATTCATACATACTGCCTTTTTTACCAACCCTGACATTTATGTGGGAGATCCAGTCTCTCTGTAGCCACAGTGACTAGAATGGGTGGGCAGGCCAGTAGTAGGGACTATTTTAATTTGTTTATTTTGTTCTTATCTAATTGTAATATATAGGATAGTGGCATAAATTGTAATTTATAGGCTAGTATAAATTATAAATATGTAAATTGTAATTTATAGGAGAGTGACATATTGGTTAAGTATACTGTTTCTTCCCTTGCCTATGTTCTCAACATAGCAACTAAGTGATTTTCTTAAAACCTATGCAAGGTGATGTCATTCTTCTGCTCAGAATCATCAGGATCTTCCCAGGTCACTCACTAAAAACTAAAAGTCCTACCACCTGCTGGACTATCTGTGACCTGGCCTTGTCTATGACTGTTCTCTCCAGCTTCACTGGCCTCCTCACTGCTTCTCAGCAGTCTGGGCAGACTCCTGCCCTAAGACCGTTGTATGTACACTTCCCTTTGTCTGCAACATTCTCCTTGAATTATGTCTTAGTCTTTCACTGAAAGTCTTTTCCTAACTATTACCATCTCAAAGAGGCTCTCTCTCTAGCCATGGTTTCTAAAATTTCATATGCAAATACAACCAACCTTTCAATCTCCATTCTCTTTATTGTTTTTTTTTTTCTCTTTAGAACTAATCACTATCAACCTAAAATATATTTTACTTGACTTAAGTGGCTGTCATGGACAGTGGAGTATAGGGAGGCATTCATTTGTGTATGTGAGTGTGGGCAGCAGTAAACACTAAACTACATAATAATGATGCAGCTGACACAGAACTCTTATAATGCCAAGTGCTGATAAATAAGCATAGGAAAGTGCAGTTAACTATTCAGCAAATACGGAACCACTGAGAGTGTTTAGACTTACCACAGTAGTAGCAGCTGTAATTCTACTCTGCTGTTGCAGCAATGAGTTGAAGGAGAGAAGAAATAGAAGTGTTTTTATCCTACTTCTAGGGAAATACAGTTCACTTCTATTTTATCTAATTCTGATGCTACACCAAGATAGGCAAAACATTTAAATCTATATTGATTTTTATTTTCTTACAAATATCATCCTATATTTTTTTCCCCCTTGGAAAAGATTCATTTAGCAAAATTTACACAGTTTTTCTAGAAAGTATAGTAATACAAATATAGAGTTTAAACAGATGGGGAAATATATTCAACAATGAGAGAAGTGAGAATCAGGGAAAATTTGATCTTAGAAAAACATTAGGCTTAAAAACTACCACCTCTTATCACAGAAAATGTTGATCTCTAAATGCCTTTTGCCAGGTTTGGGCTCTGGAAGAATATTGGCTAGGATAAAGGGTGGAGGAGCAGGGCCAAAGGAAATCTGTGTTTAGTGCAAGGAGGCCTGGTGTGTCATCCTCTGCATTGTACCCCACTGGAAATCTTAAGACAGAGTCTCTTTCACTGGGGAAATGCTCCAGTGTTTAAAAAGGCAAAGATTCTATTAGGGAACAGATATATAATTTGAAGATGCTTAAAATCTTAACCCATTAGCACTGATTCCCATTAGAGGAGGGTAAGAGCAATGTATTTCAATTTTGTTTAACTTTTCCTAAGTTGATGAAAATTAATATGGAACAAATCTTAGAATCAGTCAATGAACTGCAGCCATTTGTGGTAGATACAGGTAGGAAAATATAGGTAAAAATTCATAGATTCTCTTGCTTTTAAAAAGTTGTTTAAATGTAATTGAATTATTTTAGATCCTTTTCTTTTCTTCTTCCTTCTCCCAGGTAGAAGGGTTGAACATTTAACTCTGGGGGGAAAATAATTTCCCAGCCTGTGGCAAAATACCTTTGAAACCAAAATCAGTCAAAGGAAGAAATAAAGTGGGAGAAACCCATTTATTGCCTACAAGCAGTCAGTCATTTCTGCTTGCCCATGTCTCTTGCAACCCTGCTGCAAAAAGGTGCCCCACCCAACCTCTCAAGTCCAGATGTGCCCTTGCTCCTCTTTGTAATTACCTATTGATATGGAGAAGGACTGCTTCTCTCTACCCATTGGAAACACCTATTGATATGGAGATGCACTAAGGCCAGGCAAGAGATTCTGGAAATACTGCAATTTTATCCACAGCCCACCCCTCCAGAAATCTCACCTCACAATCTACTCACTCCCCATCTTCCATAACAGCCCTTGTGCAAGAAAGCTGGAGCACTGTAACCAGACTAATAACATACAATAACAGTAATAAAATCATGATAATCCTCAAGCCAGAGGATTCAGCTAAATTCAAAGTCCTATGCAGATTTAGTTCATAGCTTGCCCATTCCACAGGCAGCCAGTAGCTGAACAGGTAGGGAGTTCAAAGCAATCATCACATGGCAGCTGCAGCCAGGGGGCACATTCAGGCCACAAGAACTGTAGAAGAAAATAACCTTAAGGGTGATATGATACATGTTTTAATGACACCAGCATAGGCAAATCTTGACCATCAGGTAGACTGCATGCAAGAGAGTGGTCCTGTGATAGGACAGTAGCAGGAATGGGACCTCATCCTGGTCTAGTATACCAGACTTTCACCCCGCTTCCTGTGGGAGTTACAAATGGGTCAATATATAGGCTACAGGAGGTACATGCACTGGCCATAAAGATAAAACAAAATGCTCCCATGAGATGCTCTTATCTCCCGGACATTTTGAGTCTGTTACTGCTGTTTGGGGGCCACTCTGCTGTTACTCCAGGAACACATAGGAGGCCAGTTTCCAGGCCTTTTCCCCAAGTTGCCAGAAGGGCCAGCCATCACTGGTCCATGTGTCAAAATGTTCAGAGGCACATCCATTCAACAGAATCTCCAGGGTTTAATGCAGTAGGGGCTGGCAACAGGATATTGCTCTGCCGGCCATATCCAGACTTCAATAACTCCTTTGGTTTGCACATACAGTTGTATAGAAGAGGCAGCAAGGTGTGTTAGCATATCCACAGGGCTCAAAGCTCCTTTATGTGGCTTCTCATTCAAACACCATAGCACTGTCCATAGGCAAACTGACCAGCCCCATAGACTGTTGGTGTCTGACTTAAGGCTAGATTTCAACAAACCGTTGTACCTCTCTATCATGCCGGCCCTGATAGGGTTATATGGTACATGAAACTTCCACTTAATTCCTAATTGCTGCACCCATTGTTGTAACACATGTCCTGTAGAGTGAGTGCTTTGAACACCCTCAGTCACCTGGGGCTGGCCATAGGCTGCAAAGAGATGCTCTAGGCCCCTCTTGGTGGTTTGCTGATCTGCAAGATGTGCAGGAAAAGTACTGGACCAACAATCCAGTAGCCATGTCCACACAAGTCATGGCGCACTGATATCCTGACATGGGCAGAGGCCCAATATAGTCTGTCTGTCATCTGACAATGGGGTATTGGCCCCTTTACTATTGTCCCACATTGCTGTGGGACTCAGTGTAAGTCTCTCTTAGAGCACACAAGGCACTCTCTCCAGGCTCTCCTGACTTCTTCAAAGGTCAAAGGCCAGCCCCACCTATGGGCTTCAGCCCACATTGTCTTTTGCCCCGCATGTAACAAATGCTGATGTAGCCATTGGGCCACATCAGAGGCAGGCTTTCCTTCTAGCCAGTGCACCTGAGCCAATGTGTCTGCTTCATCATTGCCTGGGGATGCGAAGGGCAAATGGCCAGTCATATGATATATGGCAACTGTCTTAGTCTGACCAGAGGCCATAGGTCTTATCACAGCTCTTGGCCCCAAAGGGGCTGGTGACCAACCATCCAGTTAGCATGATACCATGTCAGTAGCTACAGGGCCAAGCCCCAGTAGATGGCCCAGCTGTCTGCAGAAACTATAGGGGAGGGCGCCTGGGTGATCACAGACATACTGTCTGCATAACAGCCCACTGATTGCTCTTCCCCTCTCCAACCTCCATTCATATTGTCTCAGTCTTAGGAGGGAAAGCCTCAGCCCTCCCCTTTGGGGACTGCCCACAACTGGAACCATTAGTATACCAAGCATCTTCAGGTATAGGGGCTTTTCCCTCCTGATAAGGACTCTTGGCTACCAATGGCTCAAAAGCAAATTCTTCCTATTTTCCACTGGCATATGTCACTGGCCCCAATAAGCATTGGAGTTCTTCACTTAAAGGGCTAGTAGCCAGGTGCTACACTGCTGTAAGTATGCGCCCCATTTGGCCAGTGTAGGTGCCATGCCACTCCGTGGCCTTTGGGTCCAGTCTTGCACCCACCCTGCAATGGAATAGATGGTTGTTACCTTCGTCACAGCTGTTCTGGTGATGGGCTCCGCCAGCAAGTGAATGTCCACTGCCGACCTTCCCACGTCTCTATTTAGACTGTGGAGGTATCCCTGTGGAAGAACAGTGAATGTCCACTGCCTACCTTCCCACATACACAGCAACCAGTTGCTTCTCAAGGTGTACCAGACCTCTGTTACTTTCCATAGTTGTGACCAGAATCCAATAGGTTGGCAGGTCCATTCAAGCCACTGCCAAAGGCCTATACTGCTTGACTGCTTGCTTAGCATCAGTAAAAGCAGCTGTGTCTCATCCCAGTCCCACCTGATGCCCTTTCATACTAACCAGTATAAGGGCTTTAGAATTTGTGCTAAGTGCGGGATAAACACTCTGCAGTAGCCCCAAAGACCCAAAAACTCATGTAATACTGCCACAGTGGTAGGGGTAGGGAAAGCCTGGACCCTGTCTAAAACTGCTTCTGAGATAACTTTAGTTTTACCCAATCAGACAACCCCCAAGAACTTTACAGACAAAACAGTTCCCTGAACCTTGGTGCCGTTCAAAGCCCATCCTTTCTCCTGTAGATGTTGCAGCAGTCTAGGAACTGCCCCTTCTAAATCTACAAGAGATCAGATGTGAGCATGATATCATCAATGTAGTGACACAGCCACTCCACTGTGGTTTCTTCCATGTGGCCAAGTCCTGGGCTACAAGTCTATGACAAATGGTGGGACTGTGG